TGAAGTGGTGAAGGGTGTCATGAAGTGGTCAAGTGAGAGTTTTTGGCAGTCTGAAAATCCTGAATGGTCCTGAAGTGGTGAAAGGTCCGAAGACCATGAAAACCACCCTTCACCACTTGAGGATGCAGCCTACCTAAACAGGTGGTTTTCAGGGTCTTCGGAGCTTTCACCACTTCAGGACCATTCAGGATTTTCAGACATGAACGGTCATGAAGTAGTGAAAGGTCCGAAGACCCTGAAAACCACCTGTTTGGGCAGGCTGCATCCTAAAGTGGTGAAGGGTGTCCTGAAGTGGTGGTGAAAAATACGATTGTTGTTAACCTTCTCTCACTTCTCAGAGATGTGTAAGTTCTTGGTATCCCCGGTGATTCTCTCTACAACGTCCTGTACTTCCGTGGAGGTTGAAGTAGAGGGGTTCTCCTCCACGACTTTCTCCTTGCCTTTTAAATCGGGAATGATGTCCCGTACTACCCGCTGTACTTCGCTCTTCAGTACTTCCGGTATGTTCCTCAAGAGCAGCGTCACCTGAGCATCCACCGCTTTTGTAATAGCTTCACGATCGACCTCTCGACGTCTCTGCTTTTCTAACTTCTTCTGGTTCTTAGCTTCTACGGCCAAGCGAAGTTGCTCAGCTGCTGCTCGTTCCTCCTCCTCGCGCTTCTTCGCGGCTTCCTTCTCACGTTTCCTCAACTCCTTAGCTTCGAGGCGTGTCAGTTCCAAATCGACAAATTCCTCCATGGCTGCCACAGTCTTGCCAAGGTCGTCAAGTTGGCTACTTGTCCTTGGCTCTTCGGATGGTGACCACTTCGTAGACGCTTGACATTGTTGTTGCGGTGATACCGATCGTCCTCGTTTTACAAATTTGGGAGGACAGCGGTAGCCATCCGCTTCCATGCGTCGTCTCGTTTCATCGTTAGTCCAGAAGCGCCAACAGTCACTTCGATAGTGGCCTACAACCTTGCATCCAAAACACACGGGTGGACGTCGTCGTTCTCCACTTGGTCCGTCATATTCACCTCGCCGTTCGGCAGGTCGCTCTTGGCTAACTGCGCGATGATCGCGTCCTCTATCATCGAGTCGGTACTCGTCCCGTCCTCGTTCCTCAAATCTTCGGTCTTCGTGTGGTTCTCGCGCGCCATGATGTTGACACTCCCAGTCGTCACGCCCTTGGTTCCTTCTATTATTGGCGTCGCCTTCTCTCCTATAGTTGTCGCGGTATCTCCTTTTTCCCGACATAGCTGGACACTTCAAAGATCTTGAGTAACTCCGTTCCTTATAGTAAACAGTGCACACTTCAGGTGCATTTCGTGCTCACACCCTCTCGGTATAGTTGCTCCAGGCTGGTTCACACGGGCTTCAGCAGGTATATGATACGGAAGGATCAAATCCAAGACTTCAGTCATCACATGATACACATGCAACAACAAGTAGTCGTGAGCAATTGATTGAGAAATATCGTCAATTCCGAGAAAGTGGTTCCCCGACCGGTTTCGATCACCGCCAGGTGATCCTCCTCAGGGGGTTTCTACCTCCAATCACACCATGCGCAAAGCGCTCCACCACTAACCCACCTCCGTCGTTTCCGGCATCCCATAAATTATATTTTTTTTTGCAGGGAGACATGTTCTGGCCGAGAATTCATTTTCAAGTGCAAATATAAACAGTCCTGCAGCAAGTCGGCCCTGTGTGAATTTCTCAAGATGCACGTCAGAGAAACTTTCCGCCTATCATTTTTGCTTCATCCTTGTACAAGGCCGTGGTAATCTTTTGTGTAGGAAGACGGGTTCCGACGTAAAATTCATTCTCAACGTGCCCATAGAAACAGTCGTGCAACAAATATGGCCGTAGTGGCCCTGCTGGTGTTTGATCTTGAAGCCCGGATTCTATTCCAATAATTTTCATTCCCGTGAATTTTTTTTTTTGTCTCTTTGATTTTTTATTTTTTTTGTCTTCTTTGGTCGCTCCTCCTTGTTTTCAAAACAAGCGACCATCTGTACCTCTGTCGAGCCTCTGCCCAGCCTCCACTGGCCTGCCCAAGTCTTCCATGAATTCAGGAAGCTAAAGTTTTTTGCCCGGGCGGGGTACTGGTGGTTTAAAACCACGAGTACCTCATAAAATCGCGACTGATAATAAGGACCGTAAAGGATGAACGAATGGGGCACCACGTGAGCGCCTAAATTCATCCCATTAGAAACGTTTCTACTAAATTCTTATCGTGTGGCCGATATGTGGGAAAGGTAGTACAACATGTGAGTCATCCTTGCGCAGGGGCGACACTTGTCTTCCGTGTATCTTTCCATTGTCAACAAATGTCCCAAAGGGACTTAATAGTAAGAAATGATGAACTGAGGACCTAAAATTTCATCCCGAAAATAGTGAGAGCATTACGAAACTTTAAATTTTTTTGTTAGTACTTTTAGTTAACTACTTCCAAACTTGGAGGTACTAATACGAGACTCATCAGACAATGAAAATAGAATGCAAGATATTTGTATTCGACCCTGTCCACCAAAGTACTGCCACAAGGTTTGAAATAAACAGTCCACCCCTTGCATGAAAAAAAACTAGTATCTGACCCCGTGCACTCAAGTATTGTCACAAGGCTTGAAATACACAACCCCACCATTGTATGAAAGAAGTGTTGACAACCGAAAAGGCAGGGGGCTCAGGGGCATAGGCTTACCTCCCCGAAATAGCGTCCGTAATTAGTAAAAAAAAAAAAAAAAACACTACCACTGTCCAATTTCGGCGCGCGAGAGCCCCATCGGTTCGCCAAAAACTACCGTGGGTTTGCTGACGATACGCAACACTAGCCTACAACCATCGTACTAGGGCTGTTTTTTTCGCCCGAGGCAAAGGGCGCGAATGAGCAATGTTCTCTTTCCTACTTGTGCTATTCATTCGGCCCACTCCCGCCCTTACCTACAGCGCTTGTTGCTAATTTGTTGTTATTGTTTTTTTAACAATCAGGAAACCCTCCTCGACAAAAGTAAAAAAAAGGGTAAAAAATAAAAAAAACAAAGACCCATGTATACAAATTTATATATCCTTGTTTGAATCCAAAGGGGGTTCTATTGTCCACAGTTTACCACAAAAACTCACACATACTTAACACAGGCCACTAGGAGCACATGCTGTGAAACGCTATCGACATGAAAATATCTTAAATCGATAAGATCATTACAAAGAGATGCCTACTGCTTTTCGTAACGGTGTGAACATGTTTCTTTTTTTAATATACTAATATTAATAACTTAATAAGCATATTTCTCACAATGAAAAATGATGAACTATACTTACTTTGTTTTTGAAGTTTCATTATATTTAAAAAACAAGAAAAAACCTAGGCTACTAGTTGGGCCACCCGGGTTGCCTTGTTTTCTCAGGCAGCCCGGCCGTGCAAGGACTAGGGAAGGTCCAGCGCAAAAAACACCCCAAAAACAAAACCCTAAAAAACACTATGTTATACAAAAAAGATCAACTGAACAAATTTTGACTCAGGGTCACATTGAAATTCTTTAAAAAAAAAAAAAAAAAAAGTTTTTTTTTTTTTTTTTGCCCAG